GGGGGGGAGGAGGGGTGGTTCTGTTCCCAGTTTACCAATAGTATTATAAATGATTTAATAATACAGAACATGCAATATAGCAATAATAGATCTTAAAAGTTTTTATGATTTGAATGCTTCTCTTCTTACTTTCTCTCTCCCTTGTCTTGTAAAACTAACATTTTTGACTCATAAAAAGATTCTTGTAAGATTGTTTGCATTTTAATTGTTTTAACGCAGTTAAGTGCAGTTCACTGTATATGTGTCCTATGTTCCCTTAACATTCACAAATGTAATAGTGCATTCAATTTGGGATTTTCATCTGTTTTGTACTTACATTACTATTCTTTTATCTATTTTCTACTTTATGTATTTACATTTTTCAATATAATGAAGTAATTTGGAATTCGTGGATACCTTATAATGTAAGCTATTTTGCAATATAATGTTTGATTTTTATTCGTATTTTTTTTTTTTACTTAATCTGAAACATTCTATGATGCATTACTCAAGAATAAAAGAATGAAACATATTTCTTTTTTCAAATTGTTTTTCTTTCTTTTACTAACACCTTAGCCTTAAAATTCCTTACTTGTCATATATAGGTAAATAGAGCAAATACATCTTTTAAACATTGGTATTGGATACTGCAAATGCAGTCTCGGAAACAAGGGTGCAGTAATAGTGGTAAATTATTTTTAGAGCCCCAACAGGTACAATTATATTAACAAATATCAGAAAGTATATATTTACACTTGTTAGACTGTTAGATTTTAAACTGAACTCTAAAATGCAATGTCTAACTTAAAGCATCTGTTGTTGTGATTTGGTACTATAGAAATAAACTTGAATTGAATTGGGGGAAAAAGCATCAGAGGACAGTCTGAGTTTGGGCAAATAGAAAAAGAAATTTGCCAAAATGTTATTTCAGATTTGAAAGCTTTATTGTATTTGCACAAAGCCCTGTCTGGAATCCCTTTGATTTTGTGGGGTGACCTGAAGACTAAGGTTTATCCCAAAAGAACATCAAATGTGGAGGAGTTTGATTCATCATAGAAGAATCAGCTGGGTTTATTCAGGAGACGTGTTTAAGAGTTGTTGAATAAAAAGGATACCTGATTGTGCCACGATCTGAGAGGCAGATCGTCAGGAGATGTAGGATGTGGATCCAAACGCAAACGCTGATGACAGCTCTGACGAAAGTTTATTAATAAAGGAAAACAAAATACAAACCAAAGCAGAGCATGGCAGAGAATTGGACTAACAAAACCTAAACTGGGAACAGCTACAAAATAATAATATAAGGTACAAAAAACCTGTGACTATAAACCTGAAAACCTGAGAAGTCGAAGCTGAAAACATGGAGAGACACACGGCAGAAATACAGGGGATGACACGCAGATGAACCAGCAACTAACAGAGGCAAACACAAGGCTTAAATACACAGAGGGAGAGCACAGCTAGGAGTAACTGGGTATGACAAGACAAGGACGTAAAACAGAATACACTAACATGAGACAAGACCTTTCAAAGTAAAACAGGAAACATACATTGACAGAACTCAGACCTGATACCTCTTGGTAAAAAATAAACTTTATAGGCTAAAATCATTCTGGCCTACACCATATTTGGAAATCAGTCAGAGACCCATGTTTTCAATTATAAAACAACAGAATGTCAAATATCAAGCCATTCTTTTGTCATTGTTCTTAAATAAGTCATTCCACTGCTTACTTATATTGAAAAGAGAATAAATGCAGGCCCAACTAGCAGGTGTTGGAGCTACTGAAGACAAGGAAGGAATATGTGAGACACAGTTACGTCTATAATATATTGGCCTAAGACACATTTCTTTGCCCTTTAACCTCTATACATCACACAGTTGATTCCAAATCAAATAAGCAAAATGCGAGTTTTAATTTAAGGGTTTTAAAATAAACCCTTTCTGCACTCACCTTTGTAACTGAAAGATATGCTCTCTTCTGAAGCATACTGGAGCAGCCAGTTCCATGCGGAGGAAGTACTCAAAACAAGAAAGAAGGAACACTTAAAAATAAACCAAACAAACAAACAACACATAGAAAAATTACACAGGAACAGGTCATCAAGAAATTAGTTACAGACATAAGTCAGTTATCAGATTATAGTGTTTGAGATACTTGCAGAAAGGTTTGAATGTCATTTAGTAGGTAGTTGGTTATTCAGTATTCAGTTTTATATTTAAGAACTGAAAGCATCCTCTTTTGAAGCACAAAAGATAATTGAGTTCTATGTAGAGGAAGAGCTCAAAATAAGGAAGGAGGAACGAAAAAGAAATTAAAAAAAGCAAGAAGATAATTAGATAGACTTCAGGGAATGGATCAGAGACAGAGGTTAGATATCAGGTTAGAGTCTTTGAGATTCCTTTGACCAACTTTTCAAACTAGTTTATGGAAAGTTTTTGTACAACCCTTTGTATTAAAGTTGAAAGTCTGCACTTCAATAGGTTATTGATCGACTGGCCATATCTCCATCAACTACAACTTTTACCTCCTGTATTCAAACACAGCTCTAAATACATACAAATAAACCAAGTCTAAACAGTAAATAGTTTTAATAGCACTTACAAATTGTAAATCACTCAAAAAAGTAAAGGAAAAACACAAGCTAGCACACGGAAATAATACATTCCAAACAATTTAAAGTATTGATATCCACAATTTTTTAATGCGGCCTTCAATTATATGTTGGCTTTCAATCGCTGAAAATTAAACACCTAAAATTTAAAAGTTTAAATAATTACAACCTTGGAAGTGGAAGATTACCAGCAATGTTCCAGTAACTAGAAAGGAAAAAAGTAAAGCTTCAATCTGAACAAAAAAACAGACTGGGTTACAATTATTTAATTTAATTTAATGTATTCTGTGTAAAAGACGAAACAAAATGCATGCAACAATTTGTTTCCAAATAATGGGAAACCTCCAGCTATCCCCACCTCCAATATGAACATATTTCCAATAGCAAGTGAAAGTAACCTGCTAGTTTTCTGCTAGTAGAACCAGTTTTCTACTGGGTTCAAATGCAACAAGACACACAATGTTTGTCAAGCTCCGCTTCTTGCTCATTCACTGCAAAAATGCTCGGTAAGTTAACCCTAGAACCCAACAGAAATATTGACACCTGCATTTTGAAAATGTATATTTTAAATAACTGAAAAAGATAATTGGATGAAGTTTTAAGATTATTATCTATAAATCTGTAAGTTGCAGCAAGCCAAGCTGGATGCTTGTATTGAGAAAGGACAAATGATTATTTTATTAATTATCCTGTACCATGCTATCATATATTTTAGCAAGCAATTCTTCTCACACAGTCAGGGATATGTTTCTCTCAGTGCAAGCTTCACTCATACATTCAAACAGGAACGTTTGTTTGTTTGTTTTGTTTTGTCTCCACTCATTCAACTAATTTGCATATTAAGTCATATCTCAACGACAACAGAAACGCATATTCAAAACATTACCAAAAAATTTAATTATTTTTATTTTTCTTCTTACAGTAATAACTTATTTTGCTCAATCAGCACACGACCACTTCCAATTTACAACTTTGAATTAAATTTATTATCTGATCACCGTTTGGTAACACCCCTATATTTTCCTTTTCACAAAAGCCCCCAGTTGTCGTGCAACTTCTCGAGTTATTCCTCAGCAATGGATAACCTCAGCATCTGATAGCAAATGTCTATTAAATCTACACAATTTAGCATTTATGTGATATATTAACATTCGTGAGTGTAAGCTGGTCTTCATTGCATGTATGGGTTTGTATTCAGATTAATTTATGCATATTTGCGCTGAGCTGTGGATTCAAACTGTCTCGCTCCTCATTCTCTCCAAAAATAATTTCACGTATTTCTACTATGTAGAATGTATGTAGTAGTATGTATATTTTCTATTCATTTATGTAATTTAGTCTATTTATTTCTTAATTTCTTTCTTTATTTTATTTACCTTTCTATTGCGATGCTCTGGACATTTCTAAACCTCCACAAGTTCAGCCTCAATTTTCAACCCAATTTTCATATGCTCTCACCTTAACACGACCAGCCTTCACCTCTCCCCTGTCCTCGTCTACTCTTCTCACAGTTGCCTGTGTGCACTCCCGAATCTCCTGCAAGCACAGGCCCAAATCAGCTGTTTCTTCTTCTCTGTTCATTCTCTTCTTCTTTTCAGTCTCTTATTTTGCTGCTTGACTTTGCATGGCAAATCTGAAACTCAGACAGTCCCATCAAGTCCATCCACACAATGATGTCACTGGTACACTTCCCAGCTTGTGATCAGCACGCATGTTTCCCACCATGGTATTTATACATGCTCCTGGAACCTTCAGAGTTTTAGGTCAGTCCTGCTGTCTTTTGCCTGCTGTTAATTCTTGATGTCCACGGTGTTGCTCTGTCTGTCTTCTGTATTCAGGACGAGATTGACCGTCCTCACAGCTTCTTCTCAGGATAAAGACAGGATGAGAGGTGAAGCAGTGAAATTTTCAGCCAAAACATGGCCTGTTTGTCGTCCCAATTAAGTTAATCTAACATTTTGCCACTGTACTCATCCAGGAGGTTGAGCCAAGTCCATGGGCACCTGTATTAACAGACTAAGACATTTATTTAATCTCATTTCCTTTTATTTCTCTAATTCTTCTATCTAGATTTTAAGGCGTCTTTCTCTCTCTCAAGTTGTACACACATCAGGCAATTTCCATCAAACTGCCTGTAAACATTTCGCTTCCTGTCACAGACACACACACTCACCCAGTGCTTCTTACAAACGCACACACACACAATAAATATATATATATATACACACTGTACCCTCTGTAATTTTACTCACTTTTAACATAAAAACATGCACCCTCAGACACGCACACAAACTGAACAGGTTCACACAGGTAGATACTAAGGTTTTTACACTTGCAATCATTACCAAAAAAGAAATCCTTCACATCAAAGTCCTCAGCATGATTAGCAGAATTACTTTGGCACACATCTTCAGCACAATTAACAGTTTTTCAACACACGTCACAATTCTCTTAGCTCAGCTCTGCAGCACAATTCACACAATACTTTTAGCACCAATTTAGCACAATTCACTCAGGTGTTTAGTAGCTCTTCTCACACACATCACACCATTTTCTGTCACACTTTCAAAACAGTATCTACTTCTGACTGTACACCCCAAAGAGAATTTTACACTTCACTATATATTCACACATTTATACATATAACAAAAGACACCAAATGTGAAGACATACTTTTACACAAACGTCTGCTGGTACCAGACTTTTCGACTTTCCCTACACAATTTTGACAACTTTAAAAGCGTCCAACGCCAAGGTCTAACCTTTTCTGACCAATTAACCAGTATCAGTTCCAAACTGTGACTGGCCCGATTTCTACACAACCTATTTTATTTTTAGAAGCGTCCAACGCCCAAGCCTAGCTTTGCTGGCCAAAAAAGTGCATATACCGTCCTAGACGGCAAAGTGATTCTTCGATCACTGGTTATTAAGAAGGGTCTCAAGTCCTTCCAGTCACCACCTGGGATAAATCTTCTCATGTGTCCGTGAGAAGGAGGAAGTTCCCACCTCTGAACTTGTGCACTTCTTAGAAGTCTAACTTCCGTTCTAAAGTAATTTAAATTAATTTAAAAAACAATCAAAACTCTGACAGAAGGTTTTAATCAATGTAGGTCCAACCTTATAACCAATAGGGACTTAAATCCCTCAAAGAAATAACCAATTACCTATTGTACGGTCTTTTCTTAACACACACATTAACTTCTTTCTTCTCTTTCACCATTAAATACCATATTACCTTTAACTCACTACTGTCATTCTCAAAGTTTCATTATTGTTACCCCAAAGCTTTACTTTTATTCTCAGAAATTAACCAAAATCAACACAAACATTCACCAGTAATCTACTGAACAGACTTTAGTTTTACCACTACTGAGCCAATTTAATAGTGAAGATCGTTAACTCGGCGAACAGATAATTTAGAATTCATCCAATTTGCACACTTTGCTTTAACAGGCTGTGCTTACCTTTGTATTGTCGAGCCAGCTCTCCATTCGCTTCATTTTACGATTTCACCTTAAGCCGAATTTGTCCTTTCAGTCGTAAAAGAATCCTGGGTTTTCGGCACCAAATAATAAATCTGGTTCTTGTCATTCTTTTACTGAATAAAGAGAACACGACTCAGTTATTTAAAATATTTTTAATTATTTATTCAATCATCTTCCGGAAGATAGAGACATGCACAGCCCAAAGCCAGTTGCAAATTTCTAGCATTAGAAGCCAAAAATGTGTATCATATAGGTGTTATTTTGGTCCTTCACACGTCACACATAGTTTCGATCAAAACAACTTTTTCTGGGCTGACTTGATGTGTGTGTGTGTGTGTGTTACATAGTTCAGCTTTTTCTCCCTGTACTGGTTTCTTGTATTTTATTAATATGCCTCTGTAGCTCTGCACTAAACTTCCTTTTCTTCAGTCTGACTGAGCACTTGGTTTATGAGTCAAAGCTGGCCTTGCTTTACACTTTACACTTATTTATAATCCAAACCACTGGGTTTTTTATATATTTGTACTGTTTTTGTAAGCGTGTAAAGTACACTTTCACTCTGCCAAATATAGAAACAAACAAGTAGCACCCGGAGACTCAGAACCCACTAAAACTATGACGTTTTTATTACAACATGCTGATGTCTGACCTTTGAACTATTACCTTAAAGCATGAAATCTTTGGCCTCTATGAGCTGTAAAAGCTTCAGATTTTAAGATATATTCATGCAGTGTGAGATTTTGCGAAGAGTTATGGCGTCATTGTGATGTCACAGGGTGTTGTTTTGAAACAAAGTATGTTGCACAGCTCTCTCTCTATGCCCTTTCATATGCGTAATTATTTATTTAATAAAAACTAAGTGAAAATGCAGAAAACTATATCCTTACTGCTTCCATATGAATTACAGTTAGGATTTTTTTTCTTTTCTTAATGTTGCTTTGTATTCCCACTATAGTACATTTTAAATGATGTGAAATTGAAGTGCGTAGTTCCAACTTTAATTCAAGGACTTTTGGATAAACTGTTTAGTAATTAAAGTGATATTTCTATACAAAAGATCGTGTCACATACAATACAACTACGGCACTGCTGAGCACTGAAAGACAATCATTTCTTGGTCGAACAAAGTGTAGCATGGCACAATCACACCAACCAGGGAGCATTCACACATGGCGTGGTTTGATACATTTGAACTGTACACAAAATAATGGGTTTTGGCGTATGCAGGACACATACAGTAAAGACCATGAGGTGCCACAAAAATGATGTGCAGTGCATTTTGGGCCTAATAGTCGGGGCAGTACACACATCTTTTTTCTTTCTATGTGAAAGGGTAGAAACAGTAACCCATTTTAAGATACTCAAAATTAAATACACAAACTAAAATAATTTTAATATAATGATTTACCATCACAGCCACCTTCAGTTTACTTAATGATGGCAGCTTCAGTTCCTCCTTTGTTATTTGTTGTTGGGTTTTTTTGTATTCAAAAAGTGAAAGCATCCTCTTTTGGAGCATTCGGCACAAACCAGTTCTGGGTAGAGGAAGTACTCAGAACAAGGAAGGAGGAAGAAAAACAAAGAATGAAAAAGATGCTTAAGAGTTTGTTGATCTGTGGAATTCAAGAATGTGTCAGCACAATGTCAATGACGAAAGCCATCAGTTTCAGAAACTCTTATTATTCACAAGTGCAAAACTAAATATAAAAAAGATAAATAAAACAAAGCTCTAAATCTTAGACTCCACAGGATTCATTTACCATTTATGAGTTTAATTACAAAAAGGTATGGCTTGTTTGTTCTCTAAAAAGAACATGGAAGCTAAAAAAAACCCCACAAGACCTCTGGAATAATGTTCTTTGGACATAAAAAAAGAATGAGGTAGAGGTGTTAGGTGCGCAATGTTTGACAAAATCCAAACCCAGCAGAACAACATAAACACCTCACAGCACCACACAGTGTTGGATTGGTGAAGAGCTGGGCTTATTTTTGCAAGCACGAGAATTTTAAACGTAGCAGTTATTGAGTTGACTGTAAACTCCTCTGTATGTCAAAGCACTCGAGAGTAAAGTTTGTGATACCATCTGTCCAACAGTTAAAATTTGATAGAAACAGAGTCATGCAACAGGACGATGAAGCACAAATGAATAACTGAATTGAATTGATATACCTTTATTAGTCCCACAAGGGGAAATTTCATAAGTAGCTGGAAAAGAAAAAAAAGAATCAAGGTTCTGTCATAGTCAAAGTCGAGGCCTCAGCTGGACTTAAATGATCTGTCAGGACTTCAACCCTGTGCATAAACCATTCATGACAAAATCTGTAATTTCAATCATTAGATTACATGTACATTTTCCAAATAATTTTATTACATAAGTGAATGTAAAACATTACTGTAAACAACCACAGCAGACCTAACGACTGTTACGGATTCAAATATTGGGGATGGATACAAGAGGAAAACCAAAATAACAACACTGGTCCGGCCGGGTCAAGTCAAACGATGATTTAATGAACACACGCGTGGGAGATGGACACCATACACAGACAGCATCAGATCTCAAAATGGTGGAGC